TTCCCTACTCCTTTCTCTCCTTCCCTCCCATCTACCAACCTACATTTTATACTCCTTCCCCATTTTTAGCAATATTGATACTTATTTGCTACATTTATACCCTGCCTTTCTCCACAATGAGGACCCAAAGCAACTTACATCATTCTCTTCCCCTCTAGTTTATCCTCACAACGACCCTATGAGGCAGGTTAGGCTGCGATTGTGTGACTGGCCCAAAGTGATGCAGTGAGCTTCCACATCAGAGTAAGCATTCAAACTGGGATCCCACAGAGCCTAATCTGACCCTTTGACCACAAAACCACACTGGCTTTCATCTAGCAGCTACTGTTGAGCAGCAGTCTTGGTAGCTGGGCGTGAGTGAGTCATGGAACTCACATGGTATCAAGTTGCCCAGTGGTTGCTTCCAGGCCTGGCCCCAATGAGTTCTCCCTCAAAGGCCAAAAAAACACAAGGCTTCAACTGGTAATTCTATTATGGTTCTTTAGCAACCCCCACAATGGCTACTGCAGGAGACATCTGTTTCTTAAAGGTTTGTTTGGTTGGTCTTGAATGTTCATGGCTCCAGTCTCCAAATTTGGCCATGTTGATAATCTCCCTTATAAATAAAAGCCGAATGGTAGTGGCACTTCTCTAGAACATTCCACACGCTCCAAAATCAGTTCGCTCTCTGATCTGTCTATCAGAGGGTCTCCCTATTCACTGGCTGCTTTGCCTGAGTCCTGCCTCCAACATTCTAAACATTTTGCAGTTCCTCTCCCCCCCATAGCCAGTCAGAACACAGGGGTTATTTGCATATGCAGCCTCATTGGCCTCTGCCTCGGAACACAGAGGTCGTTTGCATATGCGACTTGATTGGCTTTTGCCTCTAACATTCTAAACAGTTTTCTGTTCTGAGGTAAAATGTGTCCAATCTCCAGGTGAGGGCTGGAGATAACTCAGAATTACAACTGCTTTCCAGATGGCAGAGATCAGAAGGGCTGGAGAAAATGGTGGGCTCTGTATCCTTATATGCTGCTGAGGTGGCCCCGGTATGACAGCCAATGTGACGTAGCAGTCAGGGCTTCAGAGCACGGGAGAGGCTGCAGGTGTGTGTGGGGTGGAAAGCTGAAGAGTGAGGGGGAAATAAAGGTAGGTTGATGATTGGCTGGGCAGGAGATAGGGTTGCCAACTCCAGGTGGGAAATTCCTGGAGATGTGAGGGATGGAGCCTGGAGAGGGTGAGGTTTCAGGAGGCGTGGGACCTCGGACAGATACAAAGCCATAGACTCCACCCTCCAAACCAACTATTCCCTTCTGGGGAACCATTGTTGCCAATCTCCAGGTGAGGGCTGGAGATCACTCAAAATTACAACTGTTCTTTAGGTAGCAGGGATCAGTTCCTCTGGAGACACTGTGGACTCAGTGTCATCATACCCCGTTGAGGTCGCCGCAGCGAATTGACACTGAGTGTCCAAGGCCGGGGCACCCGCCCAGAGCCTCTTTATAGAGGCCATTGTATTTATTTCCACAATGGGCCTTTTTCCTAGTTAGATATATTAATAACTAGGAAAAAGGCCCGTTGTGGAAATAAATGTTATGGTAGCTTCCATTTACTGTCTATATTCAGTGTGAAATATCACTCAATACACATCAAAAAGTTCTAATATAAGCTTTTATTGAACCATAAAGGCTTGATCATTGCTATTATTGAACAATACATTAATACCTGTAATGTGTTTTTTAATCCCCAATGTAAAAGGAAAACAATGGTATGATCATTTTCCATGAAAATGAACTACAAGTCCAGAGAGATGAAGAAGCACCTGAAGCGTCACCAACAAAAGATACAGGTAAGTTTTCACCATATGACAATACCATACTTAAATAGAGAAAACAATGTCTAAAAATGCAACATGGTATACACACAGCATACATACATAACTCACAGGACAATTAGTTATTTATTTTGAGGAACCAGCAACTGCTACAGGAGAGCAGCAAAGTGCAGTGATTTCTCAGTCAATGTCCCCTCCACTGTCTTTTTACCTATGTCTGACACCACTTGCCAGAAAAACAAGGACAGTTGGTCATTATTCTGCAATAGAAATCAGGAACTCAGATGATGCTGAGTTCAAAAGATACTGTGTCAGACCATAGGCTTCTGGCTCAGACAAGACAAAAATGGCTATTCAGCCTTTGAAAATATAAAAGCCAATGATTAATCAGACATCCCCCTACTCTAGCTGAACGGAAGAGATTTGCCTTACTTTATGCTGATGACAGTTTTGTTATCCAGAACCCCTGTTGGCCTTAGAAGGACATTGAAGGCATTCAGTCACTATAGTAACACGAACAACCTAGAGATTAATTACCAAAAGACTAAAATCATGTATTTTGGTAAGAGACCTAAAGTTAGGGCTTGGAGCATCAATGGCCATAAAATTGAGGAAATCAAATCAGTCAATCCTAAAAGAAATCAACCCTGACTGTTCCCTGGAAGGCCAGATCCTGAAGTTGAAGCTCAAATACTTTAGCCACCAAATGAGAAGGGAGCACTCACTGGAGAAGACCCTGATGCTGGGAAAGATTGAAGGTCAAAGAAGAAGGGGACGGCAAAGGATGAGATGGTTAGACAGTGTCATCAATGCAACGAACATGAAATTGAGCAAGCTTCAGAGGACAGCAGAAGACAGGAGGGCCTGGCGTGATCTGGTCCATGGGGACGCGAAGAGTCAGACTCGACTGTGCGACTGAACAACAACAACAAAAATGAGTTTTAAATATTTGGGTGTGACGATCCAGTCTTCTGGGGCGAGGAAGGCCCATCACGATTACATGGCCAATATAGGTCAAAAATCGGTACAGGCTATTCTAAAATCCTTCTATAAAAATGGTGGGCAATATATTGCAGCAGCCCTCAGATTATATCAATCCAAAACAGTCTCTCAACTTCTGTATGGGATGATGTTAGGCCCACCATCTTCATTTTTTGCCCCATTAGAAAGAACTCAATCGAAATTTTTAAGAGCAGTATTTCGATTCCCCAGATGTGTATTGAATGCAAGCCTGTGCCTAGATTCCGGTATGATTAAATCAGAGGCTAGGATAAGCCTCACATCTATTAATCTATGGCTTAAACTAAACCATTCCTCCCAAGACCTTACATCATTAATGCCCTGGAATGGCTTTTGATCCACTTGGTTAAAGACAGTCTGTCACAAACTGAATATGCTAGGCATCTCCCCAGAGTTTCTCTTTAAAATGCCCTTAGGTCAAGCAAAGGCCCTAGTCAAGCAAAGGATATTGGATACTGAAAGGCAGGGAAACATCAGCAGAGTTTCAAATTTTCTGGCATCAAAGAACACTAGATACATTGTAATTCCAGCAGCCTACTTATCCCTGCTAGAGGTCCCATCCCACCGCAGGGCTTACTCTATGGCTAGATGGAATATACTCCCCTCTGCGGTAGTGGAGGGACATTATAGGAGGATCCCATTAGCAGAGAGGGTTTGCCCGTGTGGAGCACGGAAGGTCGAGACAAATGAGCATATCTTGCTTCACTGTTGTTTCTACCAGGAAATCCTCTTGAAGATTATTGCACCCTTGCTTGGGATGTTTTCTGCCTGCTCTGAATCTGAAATTACGAGGAAGTTCCTTTCAGACACAAATCCTCAGCTCACACTCCCCTGTGCAAGATTTCTTGCAGCATCATTCAGAATTCGCAGGGAATTAACACAGAATGTAGCTGAATCATAAAATGTAGATGCTTTGTTTAATCTGTTCTGTGATTTTAAGAATGCATAGGCCACTCAGTAATTTTAAATACTGTGTATTTCCTAAAACTTATCAGATTCATGTACATTGTTGTAACTGATCTTGTGCTGGTCACGAACCATAATAATAAATTTGATTTGATTAATCAGACCCTTTCTCATCACTAATCACGCCACACAGATCTTTGATAACACATAGATTGCAAGAAAAATAATGTAAGGCTGATATGATGTTAAAATAGCTGGCCACTAATTTGACGTGATAAGTAAGGTAAGAGTCCACAGAAGTAAAACTGGGTGGTATCACCCCTAGACAGCAGATAACCCCTGCCATTAGCAAGCTCCCATCAAAAGATTATAACCATCTTTCCTTAGATATGACTACCATTTTTTCCTTGCTGTTTTCTGTTTTATCAGTTTTCCTCATTATCATATTGAAAGCTACTTGAACACAAGATGTTGAACTGAATTCAAAATCCTATAAAGTATTATAATAGTGTTTCATAAATGTGTTTGATTGAATGGAACTAACAGGCATCTTTGAGGGTATCAAAGAGAACAACAGAATGACTGCATATTCTAATACACACACATATCTCTCCTTATATATAAAAGAGTTTTGGTGTCCCTCCTGCACCCGCTCCTGCAGCCTTTTGCTCTCGCCCCTGCCACTCTGAAGGATCCCCTGGCTGCACTGGCTGGCTCCCTTGCCTCCGTCCTGCCCACAGAGGTGTCAAGCCTGCACAGAGGTGGCGAGCCGGCCAGCAGTGTCTCTGGCTCACTGTGCTCTGAGCCACCCAAGGGGACGGGCACTTTGGTGGCCAGAGGGTGAGCAGGCCTACTGGGAGAGGTGGGGAAGAGGCGCAAGAGCCCACACATGTTCAGAAATGCCACTGTTAAGGCGGGGGCAGGGCAGCAACTGCTGCTGTGGCAAGAGACTGCCCCGCCGCCAGCAGCCCTGTCGTCGTCGTCCTGGGCAGCCGAGGCGGCTCTGACACCGCTCCACTTTGTGCCCTGCTGGCATCACCAGCGCCACCGCCGAACACACCAAGAGGCCTCCCTGATGCAGCCCCACCACCACGCCAAGACCCTCCTCCTGTCCCACCCCAGCAGCGGGAGCTGGGATGCAGGTGCCGGTGGAGCAGCTGTGCTCTACCCACCGCTGGGCCTGGGGGACGAGGGTGCCGCCGCCCCTTCTTCTCCCAAGGGGGGGGGGCTGGCAGGCGGCGGCCCAGCCAGAGCTCGTTACATTTGTCTCCGCAATGGGCCTTCTTCCTAGTATATATATAAAATGCATCCTTGGAATATATTGTTTTCACTTCCTAAAAGTTCACCTCAGACTCACTGTCATTTTTAAAAATTTTATGCTTACATAGAAAATTGATTATATGCTTTCAGATTTGCCTACTTGTTTGCTGTGCGTTTGTTTAATTGGTTCAGTTTACTGTGAAGAAACAGATATTGAAAGTGTTCCAGCTCTGCCAAAGGAAACAGGCTACCTTTATGCACGATTCAACAAAATCAAGAAGATCAAAACCTCCGACTTTGCTGACATTCGTAAGTACATATTTAGAATTAACTGAGTAATACTGAACATTTGGGTGAACAATATATATTGGTTATTTTCTATAAAATAAATTGCATATCATTCTAAATGTTTTATTTGCAATTACTCTTTAAACAATTTCCATGCAAGCTTCCAAGATGATTATAAAATAACAGAATGCGTAATGTTAACGTCACAGTTCTAGGGTTGCTAGGCAACCAGCATGACACTGAAGGGGACGGGACATGGGCATATGACCAATGCTGCAATATAACTTCCAGGAAAACTTGGAAGTGATATCACAACTCTGGTGTAGTGGTTAGGAGCGCGGATTCTAATCTGGGAGAACTGTGTTTGATTCCCCACTCCTCCTCATGCAACTGCTGGTGTGACCTTGGGTCAGTCACAAGTTCTCTCAGAGCTGTTCTCTCATAAGCAGTTCCTGAGAGAGCTCCCTCAGCCCCACCTACCTCACAGGGTGTCTGTTGTTTGGAGGAGAAGGGGAAAGGGAAGAGATTGTAAACCGCTCTGAGACTCCTTTGGGTAGTGAAGGGTGGGGTATAAATCCAATATCTTCTTCTTCTTCTCTAGGAATTGGCCAACACTCTATTGTAAAGCCATACAATTTGAGACAATTGCTAGAGCTGATGGCCATGACAATTGCTAGCAGCTGATGGCCATTTTTTAGAAAAAATAATTTTTCTCCTGCCAACATTCAGAATGGTGGCTGGAAACACCAGATGGAGGTAGAGGATTCCCTAGGGCTGGCAACTTTACACAGGTCAATTATACAGATAACCTTTTCTTATAAAAAATTCATTGTGCAATGTGAACCAAGGAAGAAATTAAAGGAAACAGGGTTGGAAAATGTAGTAATGAACCGCTTTTAAAACTTTTCATTTGTTTAATTGTAAATATTAAAAAATATTTGAACAATTCAAGTGTGGCTAACACATCAAAATACCATCTAAAAACAAAGAATGCTATTTTTTCAAAACTGTTTGATTCATATGCAAATTCAAGCAGATTAAATCAAGTAAATTACTACATGGCTTAGGACAGGGTATCTGAAAGACCATCTTCTCCTATACGTTCCTACATGGGAATTAAAACCATGGGGAGATGCCCTTCTGACTAACCCACCAATTAAAGATGCTTGTTTGGTAGGTACATGAGTGAGGGCCTTTTCTGTGGCAGCCCCACAATTATGGAACAACTTCCACAATGAGGTGCACCTCGCCCCCTCATTGCCAATCTTCAGGAAGCAGTTGAAGACAGTTTTATTTAGGATTGCATTTTGGTATTGTTGCATTTTTTGTGTGTGTGCGCATTACCATGTCTAGAAGTCATGGCGGCTTCAGCAATTCCTACTGGGGCATGGAGGACGTTCAGAGAAGTGGCTTGATAAGCCTGTCTCTGCCTCCCAGCCCTGGTATTTTTTTTGAGGTCTCCCACCCAAATACTTGCCAGGGTCGGCCCCGCTTAGCTTCCAAGACCTGACGAGATCAGGCTTGCCTGGGCTATCCATGTCAGGGCCTTTAGGAATGCATTTTGACAGATTTAGCTTTTATATCATCAGTCTTAATTGGAGATTTTACACTGTGATTTTTATGGGTGTTATAATCAATGCTCCCTCTAAGCTGTGGAATCTTGTGAGCAAAAAATCTACTTTGTGAGCTACTGGCATTAAAGTTTTGAGGAAGCAATTTGGCGACTGCATAAATTAGTTTGCTCCGGGGACCATCCTTCCTGAGTTAAGACAAAAATGTGTTAGCCAGAGGCTTAAAAACTGTGAACTAGCTCACACTAACTCAGCTTAGAGGGAACACTGGTTATAATTGTTTTTATTGTCTTTTTATAATTTTATTTATATTCTAAGCCACCTTAAGTCCCACAAGGAAGGTGGCTAATAAATGTTTTAAATAAATATCAATAGGTAAATTGTCTGACATGTTCAATAAAATTTACAGCCCTTGCTGAGGAAGCCAAGTTACCATAAAGTTTTCCCACCATGTAACACCATGGCAGTTTGTGCAAAGATCAGTGGGAAGGGAGAGATATGATGATCTTCATTGATACCTGGTTGTGTTTTAAAGGGGATGAGTGTACTAGGGTTGGAGACACAGGGATTTTAACCATCAACACACACTTGACAGAACCTTTTCACTGTTGGATAATCTGGACACAGCATCTGTGTGCATGGGTGGTATGGTGTACTTGGTCAAATGCAATGGCTGTGCTGTTGACATAAGATTACAACGGGCCGAGCGCCGAAGAATAGATTCTTTTGAACTATGGTGCTGGAGAAGACTCTTGAGAGTCCCTTGGACTGCAAAAAGATCAAATCAGTCAATCCTAAAAGAAATCAACCCTGACTGTTCCCTGGAAGGCCAGATAATGAAACTGAAGCTCAAATACTTTGGCCACCAAATGAGAAGGGAGCACTCACTGGAGAAGACCCTGATGCTGGGAAAGATTGAAGGTCAAAGAAGACGGGGACGGCAAAGGATGAGATGGTTTTTACAGGATAAGTTTTTTTAGCATTATTATTGATGGGTAAATTCAAGATTAAAATCATCAGTTCAATAAAGGAACCAAACAACAAGCGACAGTTTGAACATCACAGCTAACTACAGTTATCATACAGCATGGAAAGGAATAAGAAAATGAGCCTGAGAAGAGAGGGATACAAGAGCATGACCCCATGAAGGTGCACCCAGTTGCCAAACCACAGTTCGGTGACTGGCTCTGTCATATCTGAACAGAGACAGTATCTAACTAGCAGAGAAGACTAATGAAGACCTTGAGCTATAAATCAGATTGAAATCTTGCCTCTGCTGAGAACTTGCTGGGTAGAATTACAGAAGCCAGTCTCAGTCCTAATCCCTGCTATATGAGAATAATAATACTTACTTGTTTTATATATATATATACTTACTTATATTATGGGTTTATAGTAAGTATTAGAAGAAGATAGCCTGAGAAAAACTTTATTTTACAACGTAGACACCTTTATAAATATGACTAAAATACAGTCCATTCTACATAAATAAAAATTTTAAAAATTAAATTATGTTCTGTTTTAATCGCCAACTGTATAATATTTAGTATTATTATTTTGCATGTTTCTTTTCAAGCCACCCTAAGAAGAATTGACTTGACTGGAAACAATATAGAAGAAATTGAAGATGGGACTTTTGCAAAGCTAACATTATTAGAAGAACTTTCACTTGCTGAAAATAGGCTGCTCAAGCTTCCAGTTTTGCCTCCAAAGCTAACTACCTTTAATGCAAACCATAACAGAATTAAAAGCAGAGGAGTTAAAGCAAATGCTTTCAAGGTAACAGAAGTATGGTTACAATTAATTATGCAAGACAGCAGTTTATCCCTCAGTACTGAATAGTCAATATCACTGTAAGTCTTAATTATTTCAATGGAATCTGCCTTTAAGTAACTACACCTCAGTTTGAACTCTTCACCAAAGGGAAATATTACAGGTCAGGGGTATCTTCCAGTTAAGTCCATTACTATCTATAGTAATAGGTAAAATTCCTGTGGTGGGGGTGGAAAGTACATATTGGAATATCAAAATAAAGATAAGCTTAGCCTGCAGCTTACGATGTGGTATGCAAGTAAAAGTTTTTAAAAATCCATCAGATAGGTCCAAGCCTTTCACTATGTCTAAATTAGATCACTGGATCCCAATTTGTATGAGTTGCCTTATTTATTCACCATTTTATTTTTTCCATCCTGTGCAAGTTATTGGCTCCTTTACTTCCCTTTTCCTGCTTCTGAGTCCTACATATACTCCTTCCTAAACCTGAAGCATCCTTCCAGTTTCCATCCTTTTCAAAACCTACTTTTTGCAAAATCTTCCCAAGCCAGCACAGCCTAACCTTTTCTAAAATTTCTTTCTCACGTTCATTTAAAGTCTAAACTTGTTCAGTGAGGCTTACTCCCAACTGAATGGAAATAGGATCGCAGCCCTAACATATAAATGGTATAAGTAGAGAGCATGATGCTTCCATTATCTACCACGTTTGCATTGGTCCACCATGAAGTGCTGAATAATAGCTTCGAGGAATATTGCTATGGCACTACTATGGACACTTAAGGATCTTCACTGGTAGGAATTTTTAACACTTTATAAGGCAATGAAAGTCTCTAAAAAATTACTCATGTGCCTGTTGTGAAAACTTTCTGTCCTATTACTGAACTTTGCTGTATATTATGTTTAAATACCAAGGAATGGAAATATACCTTTAACTCAGCCAACCTAGCTCCCTAGATCCACGCCATGGTAGCATCAAATGCAAAGCACTCTATATGCCACCATTCTACAGTCACTCCTTTGGATGACGATCAGCTATCAGGCTCACTTCAAGGTACTGGCTATCACATACAAAGCCCTTCTCTGCCTTAGACCTTCCTATCTGCACGACCCCTTCTCCTCCTATGTCCTGCCACAACAACTTCACTCATCTGAGCAGGACCTTCTGCAGGTGTCATCCTGCAAATGGACAAGATCAACAACTACACATACATGTGCCTTCTCTATGTTGTGGAATGGCCTGCTTGAGGAGGTCAGGAAGGTCCTCACACTTCTTGCTTTCTGCGATGAAAAACCGAATTGTTCAGGAGGGCATTTTTATAAAGGTAGCAGAGCTATATTATAATGCAACAGTTCAAGAAGGTTGCATTATAATATAAAGGGAGAAAGACGACTGGGTATAGTACATAAATTTGTTTCCTGCACATTTTATCTTACTTTCATGACATTGTTTTCTATCTAAACAATTCCATTTTTGCACTGTTAACGTAACATTCCTAATACGCTTTGTTTCATATTTCTGTAAACCTACTCCTATTACTGTGCTTGTCAGATGTCTTAGTCTATTGATTGCACTGACTTACATTGTGTAACCTGCCTTGAGTGTCAATAAGAAAGGTGGAGTATAAATAATGTAAATAATAGATTTACTTTTACATAACATAGACTACTGCTCAAAAGGTTGAGAAGGTAACCTGATAAGGCAATTAACAGACGTATGATTCTTGTTAATAGACTGCAGACTCGCTACACAAAAAAGTAGATATCTTAGTTAAAAGCAATCTTTCAAAATAATCCAGAAACAGCCTCCATAATTTTCTTCCTTCTATCTCTCCACTTTTTTTCTTACAGAGGCTGACCAATTTATCATACCTCTACCTAGCACACAACGCACTGGAATCTGTTCCCCTTAACTTGCCAGAGAGTCTGCGTATTCTGCATCTTCAGGTCTCAAAACTCCTTTCTTTAATTGCTGTTGTGCAACACAAACCAATGCCATTGTAAATTACTTTAAAAAAAATGTTTTACCAGTTTTTCTAACTATACAAAATGTCACAGTACAGGAAATTCACCATTACCCAGAAAAAATATATTAATGCAGAGTATAGACAAAAGATTCACAGATTTTGGGTGAATCCAGACTAAGGCACAAGGATTGCAACCCATGGAGATTGATTTTTCCTACCTACCTCCTCCCACAGCAGCCTCAAATGTTTCCCCAGTCTCGTCTCAGGGGGGGGGGGATTCCTCTTCCCCAAGAACAGGATTCCAGGGGGATTTCAGGAGGGGTAAGGCAGGAAAATCACACTCTGTGGGCAGAAACTCATATACGCATGGAAACATCTAGTCTAGATACAAGCCTTAGATTAAGACACATGAAATTGTCCCAGTGTAGTATTAGAGAACTATGCTCTGTTTTTGAACTAATATTTATACATATTAAGTACATATTACTTTGTTGTGGCAAAGGCAGGTGTCCGAAATCCAAGGTAAGTACATCCATAACCTTCAATGGGTAATATATGGGATTGGATCCACCAGAGGATTTCTGCAGATGGAAGGGTATTATTTGTGCTGACGCCTCCATCATACTGTTCCCAGGAGATCCCATCTCCCAGGAACAGCATTCAGTAAACATTTGGGGCGGCAGTGGAAAGAAAGCAAAGAAGTCATACTCTGCAGCTAGATATCCCAAGGAAATACATGTTTTATTAGGAACTCCTATCTGTAGTCTATAACAGTTTGCAAATGTACAAGAAAGATGCTTCCTCATCTACATGTAAATTAAAAAAAATTCAGGATACCACACTGGAACAATTTAGTAGATAGTGTGTGAGAACAGTTACCGCAAAGCCATGCATTTGTTAGAAGGTTATGGAAACAAACCATACTCTGTAGTATGTGTTTGCATACCTCTTTACAAAAATATTAATTTATGTTACTCAAAAAACACGTCTTAATTAAGTTTGGATAGTCACCGTTTTCAAATTCACTCTTTTGGTTTTACAGTATAACAATATAACGAGCATCTCAGATGACACCTTCTGCAAAAACAACAATACACGTTATGTTCGTAATCGCATGGATGAGATACGAATGGAAGGGAACCCAGTCATCTTGGGAAAGTACCCCAACGCGTTTATGTGCTTGAAAATGCTGCCTATAGGTTCTTGGTTTTAAATTGCTAATGAAACTGGAAGTGGTAAAAAGTAGGTAAAGATGGCAATTATACCACTGTTTTAATGTATCTCCATGTTAGTACCTTCCTACACATATTCAGACCTTTTAGCAGTTATAATGTATTTAGTTCTACCTTAAGGAACTGGGCAAAGTTACACCTTTTGATTTAATAAGCTTGAGCCTTTTTATTTCTATAACATAGATTCAACATGAGACCAGTAAAAATATTCTTTATGCATCAGAGCCAACCCTTTTCATGTGAACAAGAAAAAAATCATGTTAGCACTGCAAGAGGAATAGTTTGATCATTCGATAGATCCGTTGTATTCTTATAAGTCTAACAGTACACTTGCATGATGTAGGAAGCAAACAGTGCAAATATAGGAAAATACAGGGAGCTGAAATTGCTGAACTAAAGAAAGTCTTTGTTATTTTGTTGCCAATGCAAAGAATCTGTACTTAGTATACTACTGTTTTATAGTGGGCAGGTCCACAAACGGTAGTAAGGGATACCAGCAGGGGGATGAGAAGACACACACATAAACCTTCTTCTGTGTAATTAGTAATTTTCCAAAATGTTGGTGGTAACATCACTGTGATTGCATTAAAGAAGGAGGAAGACAGTTGTGAGCCAATCACTATTGAAGGTTCAGTTATGTCAGGCTAGACATGGAGTAGCACTGGAAAGGGGGGCAGGTATAAGAATTACGGGAACACAGAAATGACATATATAGGAGCTAATGTGAAAGGTAAAGGATGGGGAGGGAAGAAGCAACACAGACAATTATGAACTAGAAAGCTATATCCAATTAATGTTCTAGTGATGGGTGCATGGGGCAGAACATCTAAACATTTAAGAGGGAATACAGTGATCCTGATCCTACTGAAAGTCAGCAAGGGATATTTATTATCCTTGCAAATACAATGGCATTATTAAGATTCATATTTCTGTTTAACACCAATCAAATTAACTACTGAAATAAAACAGATCAACAAGTCATAGACATGGAAAACGCTCAGCTTCAAAGACTTTTCATTATATGGTTATCAGAAAGGTGATAAACCCAAAACATTCCTCTTCACAACTCATCACAAAACAACTGGATTATGCTACACTTCAACAAGGACATCTCAAAAAGTTCTTCAAGTCCATTTAGAATGGATAGATCTTCTGAAAAGGAGAGCTAGCCATTTAAGAAACACTGAGTACATCCTTTAGAAGTTTAAATAGTACTTAACACTAGGCTACGATCGTACGCACTTACCTGAAAATCCCGTTAATTGTTCCCAAGTAATCATGTTGTCTACAAAGTCACCTTTGTGAGACTTTTACTGCAGATATGATATACCTTTCCTTTAACAACACTATTTTGATCTCGGTTATGATGAACAGCCTGAATTGAATCAGCTTCAGACTGATTGTTGATATGGTCACTTAGGGAATTACTCAACAAATCAAGTTCAGTACAAACGTAAGTCAGTTTCACCACAATAGTCAAAGTGCTTTTGCCTGCAGTCCCAAGTCTTCTTCAGAAACAACGTATTTGTCAATAAATTATGATCATGCTCACTCTCTTTCTATATGTTTGATTAGGCATTGGAGACTATTCTACAACCTATGACATTATGATGTAACTATGCTACTTTAATAATATTATGTATCAGACCTCAGTTACATGATGATTTTATATGATGTGAAAACTTAAAATATTACTGTCTGACTTTTAGTTTTGCTAGCATTTTTTGTTTTGTTTTTGTCATTATCTAGAACGCTAAATGCCTGACAAAACAAGCTGTCATAGGAAAAAAGAGTCAGGCTTTTCTGTCCCCTTTGTAAGTGTCTTGTCTTATTTGGCTGGCTATGATAGTGAAGTTTTGTTTCTATTAGCTTTCCCTTGCCAAAAGAATGGTAGCGCTTTGTTCTGTCACCCATCACCTTTTTCTATTTTTGCTGCTCACCTTTCAACCTACTGGAAATTTATGAATTCACACCACCTTCTTCCTCCTCTTTTCATATAAACTAACTTCACATGATTGCCCATTTTACCAATTCCACCATGATACACTAAAACCATTGAGGTGCCTTCAGGGAAATCAGCAACAAGTCATAACAAAACTCTCAGACACTAATCTGAGGATGATCCCAAAGTGGGATGGTTTGCCAAGTATTTCCCACAGCTCATACCAGAATACCATGTTGATCTCTTGTGGTAGAGGATAATTGGGTCTAGAAGCTTAGACCTTTCAGGCTATAAGTCTACAACTCAAGCCTGTGACATTACTCAAAGTTGTCCACTTTCTTTTTGAATTAATTGTTATTCTTGCAAGCAGGGCTGTTTTTCTGGGGGAACGCACTGGAACAGAGTTCTGGAACCTCTTCGACAAAATTATTTTTTAAATGTTTAAAAGTTCATGAGTTTTCAGTATACAGATTGAAAACTTAATTTCCCTCTTGAGAGTTCTGGCACCTCTTTTTCAAAAAATAAAAATAAAAAGCCCTATTTGCAAGCATTCTTACATTCTACAGTTCCCAGATCTGACTGGCTCTTCACTCCAGAATCCTGCTATTGATTGCTTTCTGCTCCAGATCAGTCACCCAAGACTTCCTTGTATCCCATATTCCTGTCCTTGCAGTAATAAAAGACACAGAACTCTTCCTTTTAAACCAAACTACACAAGCACATGAGCTACCTTATACTGTCAGACCATTGGTATAGCAAGGTCAGTATTGTCTACTGTGACCGACAGGATCTCAGGCAAAGGTCTTTCACGTGACCTACACTCCAATACATCAGCTATGACCATTTCTCAAAAGTGTGACCTGACTATGGTCATCTATATTCTGATAGCATTCAAGTTAAATTATTGCAATGTGTGTTACATGGAGCTGCTTTTTAAACTCCATCTGGTCCAAAATGCAGCAGACAGGCTACTGTCGGGGCAGGGAGCAGGGATCATATCACCCATGTGCTGAAAAATCTGCACTGGCTGCCTGTTTGTTTCCAGGCACAATTGAAAGTGTTGGATTACTAGCAGACAACTGGAGGACTGGACTGTATGGGAGGAGGTGGTCTTTCAAGTAAAGATTCTCTTCACAAACCCTGTTTTCTGCATCCCTGCTTGCAGAGGTGAGGTGGGAAGCAACCAGAGAAGTGGATTTTTCTGTGGTGGCAGACAACCCACCTGAGAAATGCCCTTCCTCTTAAAGTTCACCTGGTGCCTGCTCTTTTTTAGGCATCAGGCCAAAACATTTCTTTTTACCCTGGCTTTTAATTTAGAGTTTGTTTTTTTTAAATAAACTTTTTTTACAGCCTACTTATTTACTGTTATGACCAGCTTTTCCCCCCAATAGGGGCCTAAAGTGGCTTACATCATTAACTGTCCACTTTTCTATTTTATCCTTATAACAGCCACTCTGTGTAGAACACTAGGCTGAGTGAGTGTCTGGTCCAAATTTACGGAACAGGTTTCTGTGGAAAAGTAGGAATACAAAACTGGGTAACCCAGATTCTAGTACAACATTCTTACCATTACACAATGCTACTTCTAGGCTGCAGATTGTTATATGAGAAGAATTATAGGCTTCTAAACATTATGCTTTGTATTGGCTGGGTTTCTAATAGCTTGTTAATTTTAATTATTTCATGCTTTTTAATGATTTTATCATGTTTTGTTTTGTAAGCCACCTCAAGCAAGGTCCCTGGAGTGGCAGCATATCAATTTTCTAAACAAATACCCATGAATGTGTCATGTGAGCAGGGCTATAATGCCAGTAGTAATATTCTCCAATAGTCCAGGAGAAGATAGCATCCAGCTTAATTTAAAAAACATACTCCTTTTCATTATGTTCTTGACCAAATTGTCGATCACTTACATCGTCATAACATTCTCCTACAATATCTGTAGGTAAGCTGTTTTACTCCTTCTCATCTCTGCTATGTTATAGATGATCTTTTCAAAAGATACCCACCAATTAGCAATATTTTTATTTTATACACATTTTTACTTCATATAATTGTAGATAGTGAGAGGATCCAACTCCCAGCCAAGATGATCGTAAAACGTTTTGAAGCACCAAGTCATTCTACAAACAGCACAAAATCTAGCATGTGTAAATTTGTTACTGTTTTACCCAAAACTCTGCACACAATTATGCAATGGAATGCACTAAATCAATCAACATTACAAAAACAGATGCATCAAAGTTCATTCTTTTTGCTTATTTCATAATTCCGCCAATAACATTGTAATAGGAAGCTTTAGAGAATGTAAGATTTGAACACACTACCTTGAAATGGGATAGAGTACATTTCCGATATTCACACCACTCAGAAAAACAGGAGAGGCTTTTGAAAAACAGCAAAAGATTTCCACTCTCTTCAACTCTGGAAAACAATGTATAAAGTTTTGGGGTAAATAATAAATCTTTCTTTGGTGCACACTTCTTTCTAGATTATACAGAATTTCTATTGGAATGAACCTTCCGCATAATTAGATTACTGTACAATAAAATAGCATTTGGTTCTCAGAAGTGGTAACTATCAGGGCTGGATTTTTGTGGAGGATTCCATCTTGGAAGGCCTGATGAGCTTCCTTTCCCATACTACAATGCTTATATGGCCAGATTTTTAAAGGATCTACATACAGTCTCCCCAGTCATTACGCATAGGCTTCCTCTATCAAACTCTTGCCACTGAAGAGGAAATTAGTGGAATATCAGTTATGCAGTTGGTGCACACTTTGGCTGATTGTGCCAAAAGGCCCTTGACCTCAAAATTCAACAAGTATCTTTATTTCAGCATCTCAGTAATTACAGGATTTGTTTAAAGCTAGAATCTTCTGCTCAGCACAACAAATGAGGGCCTCAGAGTTAAAAGCACCTCATTTATCAGACACATTTACCACAAATACCAGCAAATGCAATGCTTTCAAAATCACAACCCTACAAGTTTTATCATACCCTTCCAACAGTTCTCTCCCATTGTTTTAGACAAGTAAGACACAGGTGCTCCGTTTGATCTGGTGTCGTGACGGTTCAACAACAGAAACGGATTTTATCTGCACGATCACACAGTCAACATCTGCCTCCCATCCCCAGCCATTAGTTTCCGGCTCAAAACCACTTTAACCGGAGTATTTTGTTACCAGGTCCCAAAGTGGTGTTTTCTCAGCTCTCCCATTTAAAACTACATTTTCCCCCTAGGTGATCGCTCCTCCGGTGTCAAACCACTTCCGGTTTAAACCCCCTCCCCGCTCGAAAGCTGCCCGAGGCTTCCGCTTTTTGCCCGCCATTTTTTTTAATGCATTGGCGGTGTGTGCATAGGAGGAGCTCTGCCACTGGATTTAGAAAACCGGCATTTAAACGGTCACTTGTTTTAGCGTTTAGATGAGTTCGGGATCTCATGGAGGCCATTTTCAGGTCAAACGTTTAAAGGAAAGTTTTTGTTGGAGGGGTTGTATTGATTTGCCCTGGTGGTTCTGCGCATGCGCCATGGTAGTTTTGCCCCCCCCATTCTACGGATGAGTGCCTATGTGCATGCACAAACTGAGAAAAAAAATTAAAAAGCCGTCGACACACGCTCCTGCGCATCAGTAGTGTAGATAGTGGGGGGCGCTGCGACTGCACAGTAAAGTGGGATAAGGGAGGTAAGTGTGATCACAATTATCCAGCAAATATAATCCGGTCAGAACTGGAGCAGTTTAACCCGCTCTCAGCATGCCGTCTGACCGCACCCAGAAACACACATTAAAACATGTGTATAAAGATATAAGTAACTACAATTTGGTCTGCGCTTGGCCATACCACTGTTCTTCCTTTGATTAAAACCAATTTGTTTTTCAATTTCTTTATGTTCCTTTCATTAAAATTCCATTTGCTAAGTTCCACTGCTGGTCAGTCAGAATAAGCCTAGTCGCCAAGGCAAGGTATTACTAAATTAATAGCACTGCAACTTCACATATGAAAAAACCTGTATAAAATACAACCCATGCCATTTTTACCAAGTTTAATAAGCAATTTTTCAGAAATTTATTAAAATGATTTTATTCTGCCTCATAGCTACAGGTTATTGAGCTATTATACAAGAATAATATTATTATATAATCCAATAAAACCATCATATTCAGTAAAACTACCAGCAACAAGTAATAAAAGCAGAGACAGTCAACATTTTAAAAACATTTTGGATTAGAAACATATAGGAACACTACACTATAAATCAACATATAATTTAGCAGCAGGTTACAAGCACAAGCAGTTAATCAAAAACAAAAAGCAAAGCCATAAACAAAGAGGGGGGGGGATGGATGACTAATCACGAAATGCCAGGGAAAATACAAGTTCTCCCAGCTCTTATCAAAGTTTTAGATCCCAGAGAGGCAGAGACATGACAACAGGGTGAAAGCCTTGTGGCCATCTCCAGTCAATGGGTCTCTGATACGGCTTAGTACTTCAACAGGTTCATACAGGAGGAGGTGATCCTGCACTGAAATCCCAGGCTTTAAAGGTTAGCATCAGCACTCTGAATTCAGTTTGACAACTAAGTCACAGTTATGGCAGCTTTTTCAGAACTGTTGAGGTACATCAACCCTGCTGCAGGTTTCTGCACTAATAGAAGTTTTGGAACAGTTTTTAAAGGTAGACAGAAATCAATCGTAGATGTTATGAGTGTGGTAGAACAACCCCTCATTCCCCATGTTACCACAATGAGAACATGTATCACTGCGACAGTGTTCCCTCTAAGCTGAGTTAGTGTGAGCTAGCTCACAGTTTTTTAGCCTCCGGTTCACACATTTTTGTCTTAGCTCAGGAAGGATGGTTCCAGAGCAAACTAATTTATGCAGTAGCCAAATCGCTCACTCACAACTTTAATGCCAGTAACTCTCAAAGCAGAATTTTTGCTCGCAAGACTCCACAGCTTAGAGGGAGCATTGGCGACAATATGTTGTTTTTACAAGAAGCAGTTAAATGAATAAACAAAGATGGTTAAAAAGACACATCCATCTACTGAACACAGTACTCTCTTTCAAAAAGTTATTGCTGAGTTTGTATCCAAGCAGATACATCACACACACAAACAACTTATTCAGCTGTAGTAGCAACTGCTATCACCATCCTCCACTCACACCCCACTGATGCGAAATATGTAAGTTCTGCAGTGCTCAATTGAATCCAGATGTGGACACTACTGATAGACTTAAATCTCAGATGATTACTAGACAAAAGCCAAGTTAAAACTCCTCACAGTACCAAAAAGCAACTTTGGGAAGAATTGTGTAATGAGTAGGTTTATTGTGATAATGAAATGCAGGCATATCTAACATGAATTCTCAAAGGGCCATTTCTGAAAATATTTGCACCTTTTACACATTACTTTGGATGTGGTAAAGTCATCATGAAATAAACCTATCACATGAATTCTATCAGGTGACAGCTGCCAGAATACAAATGTTTCAGTCTCAGCAGGTACCACATAAAAATGAACACATTGGCCTGGATCCATCTACACTAAGAAAATGTCAAAGCACTTGCATTTTCTTAAGGGGCAGCAATTTTTGCTGATTTCTACCCTCTCCCAACCCACTGCAGATAACCATTATATTGTTCCTGAAGGTCAACTAATCTCCAGGAACAAAATGGGGAGGGGAGCTCAGTGTCCTTCAGTGGGAAGGGGAAACCAGCAAAAATTGAAGCCCTTCCTTAAGAAAATTTAAGAGCACTTCCTTTTTTTAACTGAATGGTAAAATAAATGTCCTATCACCTTAAAATGAAACAGTAAATCATTTTGCATAAACCAGTATTAGCTACCACTTCTCTGAGAGTACGTCTTAAATTTGACAGCTATAACAATGCGTTAGAATGTTTCCAATCTTTTTTATAGGTGACAGGAACGCATCAGTCATTCTGCACAGCTACTGGCAGAAAACAAACCATCAGTTTGGCTATGAGATATTAGAGCTGAAACAGAACTGAAGGAACCAATAGTCAGAAGAGAAGAGCATGGGAGTAGAGCAAGCAATCTGGCATCTTACACTGTAATGATGCCGGACTTTATTTTGCTTACAGTATTGAAACATTATCTTTGTTTTTATCCTCTTTGTGTAATGGGAGCATGCACTTCGGATTTCCATTTGATTTGATCTGAAAGGATGGGAATAATTATTCCAGGAAAACAATATCTAAAAAACAAAATTCAAGAACCCTGCCTTCTCTCAACAAATGAATAAAAGCTTATATATATCAAGATGGGAGTAGAAAAGAGAAAGAGTCCAGCAGCACCTTATAAGCTAACAAAATTTGTGGTAGAGTATGAGCTTTCGTGAATCACTGCTCTTTTCTTCCGATACTGAAGAAATGAGCCAGTGACTCACGAAATTTCATCCCCTACCACAAGTTTTGTTTGTCTTTTTTATGTGTGGGTATTTTGGAGTGTGTGTGTTTGGAGGCTTGGAAAGCATGGTGACTTCGGGCGACCCTTACTGGGGGATCGGCTTGATAGCCTTTCTCTGCGTTGTGAGCCCCAATATTCCTTGGAGGTCTCCCTTCCAAGTAGTTACCAGCAGTGTTCCCTTTAAGCTGAGTTAGTGTGAGCTAGCTCACAGTTTTTTAGCCTCCGGCTCACACATTTTTGTCTCAGCTCAGGAAGGATGGCTCCAGAGCAAGCTAATTCATGCAGTAGCCAAATCACTCACTCACAACTTTAATGCCAGCAGCTCACAAAGTAGAATTTTTGCTCACAAGACTCCACAGCTTAGCGGGAACATTGGTTACCAGGGTTGGCCCTGATTAGCTTCCAAGTTCTGATGAGACTGGGCTGGCCTGAGCTATCCAGATGAGGGCAAATATTGTTAGTCTTTAAGGTGCTACTGGACTCTTACTCTTTTCTACAGTTTATATATAAATGGTAGTCCAACCAAAATTCACAAACAAGGAAAGGGAGAATATTAATTCAACTCCATTTTTTTCCTTTCCTTATGTAGTCATATCGACATCTCTCTCTCAAAGAGACAGCAGTAATTTCAGGTACTTCCCATCCTCAACATCACAAAAGGGTAGGGGAGGAAATCTCTGAGTCTTCAGCCTAAGAAGGCATCTCTTTCACTAGGCACCTCTTTCACTCCTGCAATTACCTCGAATTTCACCAGGACCATTTGTGAGGCTGTTTTATTTTAAACGCACCTCCCCTCATGCCTTCACACTCCACATGCATGTGTTGAGTTCTCCCAAAAAGAGCTCTGTTTCATAATGATCCCACCAACACACACAGCCTCTTCTCACCTTAAAGACCCTGACATATGTGGTCCAGCTAACATTCGGAAAAGACAGCTCCACTTCCTACTCTTTAGTATCTTTCACAAGTCATCATTTCTTACAGCATCTTTCATC